AATTGCTATATTCTATAAAAAATCAATATTATAAGCTAATAAAAAACAAAATTTAGTAATAATATTGAATATTGAATCTAAATATATATTAATAACAATATTTTTTAAATAAAGAAAATGGTTAGTCTAAATACTCAAAGATCTTAGAAAAACAAAATATATATCTATATACAAAGATACTATTTAATTGCTAAGCAATAATTAAGAAGTAATAACTTTAATCAAAAATCTGTATTTATATAAATAATCAAAGTATATTAATATATACTACTATTTTATTAGAGATTTTACTAAAAAGTAAAAAATAATAATTAATTATATTAATATATTAAATATAATAATAAATAGAATAATTAAATCTTTAACAAAAATAGTATTCAAAAAGTTTAAAAATATACTAGAATTAAGATTATAGAAGTACAAAAGATTAAGAAAATTAAAGGTAATAATTTCTATAGAGGAATATTAAAAGGAATAGAAGTTATTAATGCTAAATATATATAGTGATTAGTAATATAGTTACCTAAATAAGCTAAATTAAATGAATTATAGATAGGCATATTAATCCCCTTATATAATACTATGAGAGGATTAATATGCTTATACGCGTAGTAATATAGTTAATACAGAGGCCTCTTCCACCCAATCTTTTAATAATCCTTATATTATATCTAATCTTTCCATATTTATTATAATATTAATTAGAAAATACTTTCCTATTAGAATTCCTTTCTTTTTAATATTCATTATATTGAATCTAAATATCAACCTTTTATTGAAATAATATATTAAGAATCTTTTATTTAATAAATACTCTTTTTTGATATAATTGAGTTTTTTTTGTATATTAATATTTACTTAATACCTTATTTGTTATTCGAAGTATACAAATCTCTATATTCAAAAATATATTTTTATAACTAATTTCTTTATATTTTTAACTAAAATTAATATAATTTCGAATATAAATATAAAGAAATTTAATTAATAATAAGTTATTCAAGATTTTATTAAAATTGATTATAAAAGAGTTTTAAATAGATTATAAAGAGTTTGAAAGATTTATAAATTTTGATTAAAAAAAAGGAAAATAGATATACAAATTTGAATATTTAGTTTCAAAAATACAACTTCAAAATCGAAAGATATTAAATCTATTCCTCGAAACTCTGATTTTATATTCTAAGAAATAATTGATTTTTTATATATAACTTTAAAAGCTATAAAGAATTCAATCTTTGAAATATAATTAATATATATCTTAATAAATTTATCAATTTGATTATTATATAAACATTTCAAATTATTAAAATAACTAATATTAAATAATTGAATTAAATAATTTAAATATAATAATAAACTTAAATATATAATATCATTTTTTTTATAATATACTTAAAAAACTATTAATTCATAATTTTCATATCCATTTAATATCAATATTCGATATTTGCTCTTTCTTCAATTCTTAATATATTTATTGAAGTATTTTAATTATTTTAAATCTATTTTATTGTTTATTTATTTATTAGATATAAATTTAATAACTTATTCTATAAGAAAATTGATTTTGATATATTAATTAAAAAAATAAATCTATCCCTGAATTATTAGAAATAAGGGAATAGTTTTATTCTTCTTATTTCCGTATATTATTATTATAGCTCATTCTTAATTACTTAATTATATTGATTTACTTTTATCATATTTCTTAGCATTAATTATAACTATTCTGGGATATATTATATTCATTATAAAACCTATTTCATTAAAATTATAAAAATCATTATCCAAAATATTGAATTTCGCTTATATATTTGTAACCAATTAAAACTAATCTTTAATAAACTTGGAATCTTTATAGAAAGCTTTTTGAAAGTTATAAATATAATTAAAATATATTTTTAATTTGATTCAATACTTTATAAATCAATATACCTAAAGTTTCTTAATATACTTTGTATCTTTCGATTCAAGAATATAATTCATTATATCTTTTATTTCCTTGAATTTAAATAGAAAACCTTTTGAATTTATATTAAAAATATATTAAATAATAATCTCCTTTTTTAATTCTATAAATTTATATCGATTCACTCGAATTTCAAAATGTAAAGTTAAATTATTTATTTTATAAATAAAAATTATATAAAGAATATTATATAATTAGAAGGTTTTTTGAAGATTTAGTTTTTTATCATTTTTGATAATTTTGATAACTAAAAGCAAATGTATTTCTTTATTATTAGGTTGTATAATAAATGATTAATAAATTACATATTAAAATTAATCATATTTATTAAAATGAAAGTAGTCTATTCGATGATATGATCCACTCGATGATAAATCACGTTAATTAAATACTTTATAAAATATTGATTTTTCTAGTGAATTATATTCTTTATATAATTCTCTATTAATAGAAATAATCTCATATTTAATTGATTATATATTTGATGGTATTTCGAAGTTGAATTGATTGTTTATAATTTGAATTGTTTATTTTGAGAGTATTCTCAAAAAAGCGCATGTCCCGTCAGTTCGTGCACCCACTGGTATATCTATCTAAGGTTACCTAGGTTATTTATTGATCTCGATATCGATAAGAACTATAATTAATCTTAGTTTATCCCAATACATAGGTACCAACCCAATCTGTTAGTTTAGTTGGATTTGGATATGGATTTGATGTGAATGTGAATCACAGTGGAATATGAATAATGATGGAATGAAAAGGAATTATAGAGTAATCATGAGGTTTTCTTCACGCGGGATGATATAGTGTATATAATATGTACTCCTATATGATACCTCGTAGATAGATAGATATTTTATTAGTCTATTTAATTATTTCCTCACTACAAATCACAAAACAAAGAAGGAAAGAAGATAGATAGGTATGTGAATTAGGTCTAAATAGGTAGGCACTATGATGAAATATCCCGATTCTCCTGGAGAATGATATCTAATCATAGATTAGATCATCTCTCTATCTACTCGAGTAGGTACGTAGTATATATCACAAACTCGCCAAGTGAGAGATAGGTTCCTACCTAGGTATCTCCCTATCGCGTTTTTGACTTCTCTGCTTTGGTTTGATCGATCCCTCTATCTCTGTATACCTAGCGAATTGAATAACGGAATAGATTTCAAATGAAGGAATTGCTAGGTCATCACATGATTTATATGATTTTGTTCATTTGACTTTATTTTATGGTAGTTATAGTTATCTCATCTTCAGATTCGTCTACCGGTATATCATTATACGAGACCTACGATCTCCATTCAAATATCGTATCTACTCGATCTACAATCAACCATCAAATACCAAGTAAGATCTTACATCACTTCGCATCCCTCGTTCCGCAGCAAGTGCGTATATAAGTAAAGAAGTAAACCCGTTCTCTGATATTCGGAAACGCGCACAGACAGATATGGATTACTACCACCACTGCCTCTCCCTCTCCCTCTCCAATCATCAAGCTAAAACCCATCAAGGTGATCGATCTACCTCCTCGAGGAATACGCTGCGAAAGCTATGATAGATAGGTTGGATATGAGGTATATATGTATATGAGAAATATGAGATGAGATGGATGTGCGATTTCGTCATCAAGGTGCATAGCATAGCATAACCTTCAGTGTAGAAATTAAATTTACCTGAGCATTTCTGATAGGATGGATGGTTGGGGGAATTGATTGATTGGGGGATTGGGTATTAACTATCCAATGTAATATGTATAGTCAGTCGCGTTTATGGATGATTTAAGGATGTTGTGTGGTTGTTTTGGAGGGGGTAGGTGTTTATGTTTATGGAGGTGGGTGGATGGGTGTGTATGGATGTACGAAGCTTTGTATTGGATTTGAGGAGGGAGAGAGAGAGTGTGTGTGTGTGTGTATTTGTTTCAACGGGATCGAGCGATCTTTATTCGAACTTCTCATTTATTTTTTCTTTCCATTTTTTCCTCTACATTCTTTCCACTCTTGGTATATCATTTATTCATCCTTCCTATCGTTTCCTACTTCCTCATCTCTTGGATGGAGGCAAACGAGTCGAGGGAGAGAGTCATGAGAGTTGAGAAGATAGTATCTATCTACCTACCATCTACCATCAATCATTATACGATATAATAAGCACATACCTATCTGTACTATCACTTTTGATATATCAGATCTTATGAATGATGGAAACATTACTTCTCAATTTTCAATTAGTATTGAACTCGAAGTTTTGAGTTCGATGGTATTGTATTGTATTGTATTGTATTGTATTGTATTGTATTGTATTATCATAGCTACTAGGTAGACTCAGTAGGTAGGTAGTCTGCCGGTAGGTAGGCTGCATACTTGGCAAGTGGGTATAGTTGTAACTGTGTGTACTGGGTATTAGGTGCTGGGTAGGTCGTCTTGTGTTAGTTAGTTAGGTAGCTATTTAAATGATGAAATAGTTAAATGGTCAGTCAACATTGAAATAGCCTTGACTACTGGGTTCGATATGTATTTGAATGTATTCTCAATATGTTACAAGTGCTTGATCGATTGCTTGATTACCTTTGTTCGGGCTTGTACAATCTGGGAGATTGATATCATGGTATTGGTAGGAGAGGGAAGGGAAGGGAAGGGAAGGGAAGGGAAGGGAAGGGAAGGGAAGGGAAGGGAAGGGAAGGGAAGGGAAGGGAAGGGAAGGGATATTAAAACTCGTATTTTAATAGATTGAGAATCGTTGTTTTGATTTTTCATGAGTGGAACACTATGGTATTTACTTATTTTCAAAGGGAATTCTTAATTTTTTCTTGGAAAGACTGCTGGTTTGAAGTACTCAATTATGTGGGTATATTTGGTACCATTTATTAAAGAAAGAATCATCTGATTCAGTTTATTTTTTAATGCGATAGGAATATATAAGAAAACGATCATTCGAACTCTAAAATATATAGACCAGCTATACCTACTTACCTATACATCTACCCTCCTCCATTTCATCCCATCTCACCACCCTCTCACCACCCTCTCACCCTCTCCAACACCTTCTCCCTCACAATCTCCAGCTTCTCCGCCTCAATATGCGCATACCGAAAATTAATCAGATGCAATTCTCTCCACGCCCCCTCTCCCATCGAAGCATCGCAATACGGACACATAGCTTCCAATTCATCTTTTTCCTCCGCACCACCAGTAAATGCTGGAGCGAGGACTTGCCCTTCGAGTGTACGGAGAACGATATCATTGAGCCAGAAGTTAAGAACGAAGGAATTGAGTGGATTGAGAGGAGCGGGGATGGAGTCGGAGGAGTTGAATGTGGATCGGGATAGAGAGGGGAGATTAGAGAAGGGAGGGAGTGAATGCGGGGGAGAGAGAATTTGTAAAGGGGAGGGAGTGACATCCAGAATCTGAAGATTCTGCATGGTTAACTTACTAGGAAGTTGGGGGATCGCGGGAGCGGCGGTGGGTACTGCAGCTGCGGCGGGTATAAAAGCGAAAATCTCCTGGAGATCCTCTACGAGATCCGCGACGCGGGTGCGGATATCGTGACTGCGAGAGTGCATGGTTGTGCTTCTTGATAGCGCAGGCTGAACTGTGGGATTTCTGTTGTTGGAATCGGGGTGACTTTTCGATTGTGCTCGTGCTCGTGCTCGTGCTCGAGAATCGAGTTCGTTTGCGCATTCGGAGCAGATTCGTCCGAAAGGGTAATTGCAGGAGGTATTGAGACAGATGATTGGTTCGCCAAATCCGAGACTGAGGTCGAGGTCGAGGGATGTGGTGGACATCTTTTCGTTTGGGTGTAAATGTGGATGGAGAGTGGTTTGATGAATAGATAAGATCCTGCGTTCTTAATATTTAAATGTGATTGAGGAAGTTGGTAAATATATATATACATGTGGGTTATTGTTCTTGAGTGTTGTTTGGAGTGTTTTAGTTTCATTTTCGTTTTCTTTTTGTTATGTTGATTTGTGTTGTTTCTGTGGGTAGGTTGGTAAGTGAGTCTTAAATAAAGAAAGAGAAGAGTTCTTTGTTTGATGATTTGGATTTATCAGTTTCTTTGTGTGGTTTGGGTGAGGGATAGAGAAGATTGAGAACCCGAAGAGGATAATAGATAATAGACATTGTTCTGAACGTTTTTTTTATGCCAGAGGGAGTTAGCTTTGGGATGCTAGAAGGGCTTGGTTGGATTCATACTCCTATCATTCTCTCATATCAATGGAGGAGAGACATATTATAATTCTTTTTCTGGGTATCATGGGCTTTGGTAATGTGCGTCATTTTCTTCGGTATGGAATCAGCATCAACGTCAACATCAATGTCAATATCAATATCACGCCCATCTATACGCTATACATTTAACCATTCAACCAACTATTATAATCCAGATCGATACAACCATCTTCTCTTTATCCTCCATCTCTTGATCACCACTTCTTCATAAGAAAGTGAATATGAGATGAAATCTTATGATACAAGTCATTATTTCTCTACTAGCATGTATAGATATAGTTGAGTCAAGGTATCAAAAGACCAATTTGTCAGATGGAATCGTTGATCTACATTATACATGTAAGAATACTATTCCTAGGCAAGCTTGTAATTGAATTACCACTCCACATCCCATCCCAAACCTCCTCATAGTATGTATACCATTTCTTGTTTTCCTATCCCCCATCCATTCTATCTCCTACACACCCCACTCCCCCCCTCCCCCAAACAACCGAACCATCTGCCCCTCAATCCCCTTACCAAACCCCCCATTTTCATTTCTATCACTCTTTTTCCCTTCCGCCCGCACAGCACACATCCATTTTTTCTGCGCAGCAGTGGGGCAATATGCGCCATCTAGGGTGCTGGGAAGAACGGGCGGTTCTGTGAAGGGGTTAGAGGGATTATAGGGTGAGTGGGGATTTGTAGTTTCGGTTCTACTCGCGATTACATTTCCATTTCCATTTTCGGCTCTATATCCACCTCGGGTTCGAATTCTACTTGTAGGATATCGGTCGAATCTCGGATTGGATGTGAAAGTGCCAATGCGTGGGTGATTACGAAGAGCTGGGAGAGGTGGTGAAGAGGAAACGGAATCGGGTGGTGTGCTGAGGGGGGATTCTGAGGATGTATCGTTGGGATCGTATCGCTCGTTCTGGGTTGCGATTATGTCTTCATTGGCGGTTCCATCTCTATCTCTATCTCCATCTCTATCTATATTTCCATATATGTTTTCGTCCCCGTTACTTCTTTCTATCCTCCTGCTGTTTGGATGAGTATCAGAATATGATAGTCGAGGACATTTGCTAGCTTGAGTCGAGATTTCATTTTCAATCTCATCTTCATCTTGATCTAAACCACGATGGGTACCTCGATGATAATCCTGATCTCTAGACCCAACGCCCGCTTGGAAGTTCGAGAAAGGATTCTGTGGAGTAGGAAACGGAAATGGAAACTCATCATGAAAATTTTGATCCCGATGCCGATTTTGAGTTTCCGAGTGGACTTCTGTTGGAGATTGAGGTTGATGCATATCTCGGCGGGAAGCGTAGTGTAAATTTTGATTTCCGGGCGCAATTGTTGTTTGGGACTGTGAGAAAGGAGAATCGTCAGTAGCAAAAGGATAGGGAGAATTAGCATAGAAGTCGTGATTTTGAACACGAATCTGTGGATCGATGCGTGGTAGTGGTTGAGCTTGATGTTGGATTTGGAATTGACCTTGCCCTTGAAAATGCAATCGTTCTGGAGCTCGAGTTTGAGTTCCAGGTTGTGCTTGGTCTTGATCCTGATCTTGTTGAGCCTGAGTTTGACCTTGATCTTGACCCAAAAATAAATCTCTATCCATTGGAGTAAGCCTAGGCCTCGGTATGAGATGCAGAAGGGCTCTAGGTCTAGGTCTAGGTACAAGATCTCGAGGTCTTGAAAGCGAGGTATTTTGGGTTGGAGGTCGTGAACTCCCTGTTCGGGATCGGATTCTAGAGCTGGCTCTAGAAGTTTCTTGATGACACTGAGGTTGAGATGTAGGTCCAGATACTAGTCTAGGATCGATATCTCGTGGTTTAAATCTGGGGGTGAGACTGGGAAAGGTGGGGGAAGGGTTTTTTGAGGATCCTGAAAACGTATTTGAAGCTTGATTTGGTGGTTGTGATGGCTGTAGTTGAAGCGAAGGTGGAGGTGGGGGTAAACGGTCACCAGGCTTGCTACGCAGAACTCGTGGAATGGGTGGTGGGTAGCCTTTTCCTGATGGTGCCATTTTTGCGCTTCGTGGGTAGATAGATGGACCAGTGAGTAGGTGAGTAGTCAAGTGAGTGGGAAGTTGAATGATTAGTAATTTTCTATGCTACTGGTCAACGACCTGGATGATGATTTGAAGTTTTGGAGGAAATATCGGCTAGAGAAATGTAGGATTGAGTTGTATTGAGAGTAGTGTCTTGTAGTTTGTAAAGGAAATAAAGTGATTAAATTCTTAAGTTCTTAGGTTTTCAAGTTCTCAATCTATGTAGTAATTTCTTGAATTTAATAGAGTCAAAACAGAAGTCTTTATACGCTCATTTATCTATCTTGATCAAGCTGGCTAGTAGACCGTATATACAGCGAAGTAGGACCGTAAGGACCGTAGTAATATGCTTTCTTCTTTCAATTAGGAAGTTGAGAGTGCCGTCAAGAAAAGGATTCAAGACTTTGAGGGGCAACAACTAGGCCAAAGATACTGCTAAATCTATCCAAGTAGTATACAAAGCATAGACTGCTATAGTATCAACAAACAATAAATTAGTTGTGAAGTGGAAAGGAAATAAAGAAGAAAAGAAATTACTAATTCTTCTTTGATACTTGATAGATTAGTGACAGGAATTTAGTCCAGAGTATACAACTTGATGAATGTTTAAAGAAATTATTTCTGGGAGATAGGAGAAACAGTGAGACGGCTTCGATTTCTTTTTTCTTAGTCATATCGTGTTGCTTGAGAAAAGTAGGAGAGCTAAATGAGTGGGCGAGTGGGTGGGTGGATGAAGGGTAAAGAGTGAGCTTTCCATTGTAAGTTCGACAGCTAACACAGTCGTATGTGTAATGATGCAACATTGATGGCTGCAATAAATATTCATTGTCTAGAACGTCTACATATCGGAATAGTTGGGGATGAGTAAGTGGTCGAGAATGGAAATGAGAGGCGCTATTTGTGGTGTAGTGTGGTAAGCGTTTCTTGTCTGAAGATATAGAGGAGAGACTGAACGGATGGATGGATGATAATGGTTTTTTTTATGATACATATATGTTGAGGTATGGAGGGAGATAGAAGAGGGGTAACGAATGAAGGCGGGGGTAAGCATTAGATTCAGACTGGGGATACGAGATGAGTTAAAAGGATATGAAGAAGGTGATGTAAGGTGATTTAAGTTAATGAGATCATTGTAAAGTTCTAATACTATAACACCATGATGGAAACACCGATTTCAACAAGCTGACTAGATGAGAATTGGGAATTTGCTTCATTAAATTCGCTGATAAAAGCCTATATACGTATATATGTAAGTTAAGAAATTACAAATAGAAAGAGCTGAAGTTGATGTGTGGATTCAAAGTTGGTTAATGATATACCTGCATATTATCATTGGAAGGGAATAAGGGGGAGCTGATACGGATTCAAAATGTAGAGCCCTAGTAGATGGAAAATTTACATATACATTGCTTGTACTACTCGCATTATATCTTTGAGTATTGAGAGAGCTAGGCTAACGGCTTCTGATTTCACCGAGAACCGAGTATTCAGATAATTGATAAAGTTTGTTTTAATTAGGTTAGTGAGAGAGTTTCTCGAAATAGAAATGATAGGTTCGTTGTTAAATTTCTCTACTCTTTATTAATTTTGTTGATCTTTTCTTTCGATAGTAGTAAATACAAAAAAGTTCTAATTATGTCTCAAATGCCATGCATAGATTATCTTTCCTTAAACCTCGAATCTAAAAACATCATAATAAAACCCTTTCCCACAAAATTTATTTCATTTCAAAAGAAAATGCAAAACACACAAAGTACACAAAACAAAAATGAATTCCGGTGCGGGGAATTGAACCCCGGTCTCCCGCGACTTGATTGAGGCTTGAAAGCTTCGAATGAGAGGCGGAAATGCTAGCCACTACACCATGCCGGATATTGTATTGTATTTGTTGGAAGCATTTCCAGAAAGTGGAAATATATTAAAAATATCAAAGCGGAAAACATTCTTTGCAGAGATTTTCCCCTAAGGTTAAGCGAGGGGTTGGCTGTACCGATGTGGGGCGGGAGTTCGGGATAGGAGTAAGTGGGGAGTCGGGTGCTAGGCTTGGTTGTGCGAACGATTAAGGTTGATTTTGATGTATTTTTCTATGGGTGTGGTGTGTTGAGAGATTTTCAGGTTGTCTTGAGACAATGGAACAGAATAATATCGTGATCTAAATTGGAATGAATTAATCTGGTGCCTGGTGTGAAGGGGTCACTTTCAAGGTCTGCGGCTGGTCTGCTGCTGGTCTCCGCGGTACGATTCGAGTTTCATTGATTGTTGGGCTCATTATTCTGACCGACTCAACATGGCCGTCAAGTATTTTTGGGATTCAATAGGCCCTCAAAATTATGACCGGCGGTATATCTCGTCTCCTACGACCATATTTTGTTCCATCTCCCCCAGAAGGTCTGATGCAAATTTACAATTCCTATGTCGAAAATACTTTGGTTTGTTGGAATTATAAATCAAAAGTATTCTGATGAATTAGAAAGAATTATTCTAAACACGAATTCGCGTGTACAAATCAATTTGTTGACGCCCCTATTAAATAACATCTACTATCTACCCACGTTTCGGTGTCTATGGAAGTGTCAGTTATCACTTAAAACTTTACTATCATCTCATACATTGTTCAAAGTATCAATTCTCATCATCAAAAAAACCACTATCAGTAGTAAAGAATGATTGATTTCAAGAAGAAACAGCGAGTCCTGTCAAAAATTGTATAGTACATAAGGTTTATCCTATAATCATTTCTTACTGGTTAAAAATTGAGGAAATTATATAATTTGCCTGAAAGTTTGTATCACCAATCTAAGTCTACGTAAATTATCGAAGAAGACAAATTTCAAGAACTGATCATACATTGTCCATACGGGCTTCAAATCTTTGACGTTGGAATGTTGTATCCCCCTTTTCTATCTCCCAATTCGTAATAACATCTAAGGCCTGGAGAATTCCACCCGATTTTCAAATTCAAAGTAAACATAATATACTCACTATGACAGCTACTTCAAAGACTAAATCTAGCTACCTGGTTCTCATCCAAAGACTGGCCCCAAAGTAGACCAGAAGGGAGCTCATTAAATCGCAATCGACCAAAATTAACCCTAGGCACGTCATGACCGAACAATTGGCCCAAACTCTGTTCCTTCACATTGCGACATCATAATCAACAGAACAAACGTGAATTCAACGGTGGAACGAGAAGGAAAAGAGTTCTGCAAACAGAATTCTAATTGATATCTGCACTAGTGTAGCAATATCCAAAAGACCAATCTTCCGCCTGTCTCCTAGGAAATACACATGCGGATCAAACCTTCTTCAGCTATCCTCAACTTCACCCCTTACTCTATTCCTATCAATGTCGCCCCTCATCCATTCTCCATTCTTATTTGGCTCTTATTACTCTCATCCTTGTCGTCTCTTCAAGTTCGCTTCCTTCAATTTTTTTTCTTGCTCTTTCAATCTTTCTTCTCGCGGTGTCTCCTTCTTAAATGCTACCTTCTTGCCCGGCTCTTTTGTCCCATCTCTTCCATTTGTGCTCGAATTTCCCCGTGCATTCTCAGACCGTAAAGTGTCAGGAGGGAGTGATTCATCAGGATGAATTCGGCGGCAAAGTGGTTTCTCTATCTTCTTAATTCTCTCGGGGTTTATTGTATTTCCCCCTTGAGGAATGCCCCGATCATTTTGGTTGCGTTCAGAGATTATCGGACGGGAACCATATTTGAAAAGTTTCTTTTGGTCCATCTCTATATTCGAATCGATCGATCAAATATCTAAAAAATCCGCGTAAGAATAAAAGTCGACACTCCAAATATAATCTAATAATAAATCTAAGAAAAACATATCAAACCTGCAACTCACCACCACTTATATATAAATCCCCATCACACAAATTTAATTCTGCTGCCTCCATATACCCATATTAAAAATCCAACTCGCGACCGACCTGAAATTCAATTATCAATTATGAGGTCATGACACCTTATTTGACACCCTAGGCAACATTATAAGTTTAATTTTTCGAGTTGATATCAATAACTATTATTAATTATCTAAGATACCTACCTACCTTCAGAGATAAGATTACTCTACACTTGAAGCCTACTTAGCAATCTCCAGAGAACTTTCCCACTAGATGAGAAAATCCAATTCCGGAACTTTGCGCTCTTCATTTATGCATACACCTCGCTAATCTCAGTAAGCTATCTTTATATATATATCCCCCGATGGTCTATACTCAAGAGTCCTTCATTCATGAAGAGAAACGAGAGTGGCTATCTAATACAGCACCTGCAAGCAGAGAAACTTTCAAAATCTATCATCTCATTTCTTCATGCTGCATTTCATTTCTCCTCGTTTCTCTTCATCTCTGATAAACTTCTTGATAAACCCTAATAATGATCCACACTAGCAATGACAAAAACCGGAAATACGATCTCCATTATCATACCCATCATATCCCATCAATATACTTCCTTCGTATCAACAATCCTACCTCTCAGTCCTGCTCTGTATACATATCCCCCTTCATATCCTGAAGATATTTTTGTAACCTCTTTGAAACCTCTCTTCCGAAGCCCCCTTCTAGCATCTCTGTTTTACTACCTATCTTCCGAATATTTTCGTACAGTTTTTTTTCATTTCAATTCACCCCTCCTCTACCTCCTATATTTTTACCCTCCCTCCTACCTCTCATTGTTCTCTCTCCAATCCCTCTCTCCAGCCCCTCTCTCCAAACTCCCCTCCCTCTAAACACCTCCTCCTAATCTCCTTCCACTCCTACCTTTCTACCCTGCCTTTCTACCCTACCTTTCCACTCTGACTTTCCACCCTACCATTCTACCCTGCCATTCTACCCTACTCCATCTTCCCCCCCACTCGATCGTTTCCTCTTAATATTTCTCACCTCCTAACCTTCCATTCATTTATCTACCTCCTTCTTCTCATACTCTCTCTCTCTCTCTCTCTCTCTCAAACACACACACACG